TTTTATTCAAGAACCTTAGCCACAGCAACGCGTGGCTGGGTCTGCTAGAATACATATATTTAGGTAAATACATAACTTTTCACTTCATTTGTCATCAATTTGATTTTTTCCTGACATTTTTAATAGTGGTACAGCCTAGTCTTATTTTTATTTATTTAATCTTTTACGTATAAAATTGTATACACGGCAGACCTAATGCCTGTAATAATTCTCTACCAATAAATTCTTGCACATGATAAAGATACCTAAGTGCCAATTCCTGTATTTATATTCGTTGATATTATTAGAATTGATTTCCTTTTAATAGCATGGCGTGTTGGTGCATTTCAAAGTTAATTTAGGAAATAGTTTCGATCCTATCGTATTCAAAAGAGATTCAGTTTTTTGTAGGTTATGATTTCATAAATTTTGTAGAATACCAAATAATGAAGATGTGTATGAGTTTTACTTTTATGTATTGTTTGATAAACCTAATTTATTTGAAGATAAAATTGTAATTATCAGAAAACTTCTGAACTAAACGAAATATGAAATCACAAACTTGCCTGTAGAGCCAACATAGGAGTAGCATCATCTATGACCATGTGAACGAAATCACAAGTAAAGTTGATAATATTAAATTGGCAATGTTGTAGGTTTGCAATAACGAGGCAGACAACACAAGGGCATTTTAATTCATAAGAATAGTCGTTGAAGTTAAGTATATACTCAATGAATACTTCATTTCTAAAATATAACTCGTACCTACTAAATAATTTGACAAAAGTTTTTTGTTTCAACCATATTTGAACTTATGTCCTTTAGAGCCCATAAATCGTGTTTTTTAATGGATGACAATGGAACGGTTTATCCTGACGGGGCACCAGTGGAGGATGATAGCATGAACATGAGGTCAGGTTAGTTATCTCATTGCGACAAATAGGCTAGGAATTTATGATTAGGATTCATGAGGTCTCCAAGGGGAACCGTGGGGTGGTCAACCTGACATGGTATATAGCTAACATTGGGGTCATTGATTTAGTTGGCAAAATAGAAAATATAAATAATATTTTTTATAAACAAGAGTATAAGTAGATATTCGAGTGTTATTTGATAAGATTTACCTAGTTATACAATTCGATAAGCCATAGTAACATATTGCATTAGAACTATTATCATGTAGTTATTTTAATGATAAGTAGTTGTTAACTTGTATCTAGATGATAAAACTGTAAGCGTAGGAGTTGCAGTAAGTAGGCGGGCGTAGTGTCGCTGGCTCCCTAGTAACACGCTAAACTACATCTGCAGAGTAATCGATTTCTAGAACAACGCAATATTATGTGGTTCAAGGCCGCATTTACTTTAGCTACTAGGCTACGTTTTAGCACTTTTAATAATATACCTTTACGACTATTCCCTCAGATGGGGTAACAAATAAAATCTTCAAATGCAGACGGGTCGTGGACAGCGCAACACTCGACATCATCGCGTTTCGTTGATTATATTTGAATCCAATGTAATCAGCTTACCGCAGTGTCTAAGATTTTTTTATCGGTGTTTACAACGACAGAGTGACAGTCAGAAATATAAATTTAAACACGTATGTTTTTTCATGTCGGCCAGATTCGGAGTCACAAACTTTTGAAGTGAGTACCCCGACTCACGTAATCACGACGCCACGCCGACAATATCAGATTTTTACAAAATTTTGCTCTGTCTTTGCATTTAAGTACAAATGTACATGAAATATTGACAATAATGACAACAATAAAAGGACCATACACGCAGCGCCATCTAGCCTAAGTCAAGCTTGTGTTATGGGATAACTGGTAACATAGATTTTTTTTCTAAATTCATACATAGAAAACATCCAGACCAATACAAACAATCATATTCATGAATAAAAATGTTTGTGTGTGCGAATTAAACCCGCGACCATCGGAAGTAAGGCGGTGTGCTAAACCGCTAGACTACCGAGGCCGTAGGTTTATAAGTATATTAATGGCTAAATTATACCAACTTCAAAATCACTACTATCAGTCGTGGTACCTCTGCTACTCGCATGTTGAACTGGTTATATTACGTTCTCCACATAATTGAAGAAAATTGCCAATGCCCTAAAACAGGTTCAACCGAAATCAGCAAAAGAAGTAGAACGTAAGAATTATGGAACAAATTTAACATTAAAGCTCATTCTGAAGTGTTTATAAGTATATTGCTGTTCGATTGAGAAAGCCTTAATTGGAATGGTATATTACAGTATTATTATGATGTTCTGTGGTGCTAACTTATTTAAATTTCTAGCAAATTCGTTAGTACCTTAACTAAGCATATACCTACTATATAAACGAATGGAAAATTCTTCTCTGTGTTTAATTTAAAATCATATCAATAAATAATATAAATATTCCTGAACATAATATAATCAAATACCTACCCCTTTTTTATTTATTATCCTCTAAAATTGTAATGTAATGTGAAGTAGGAACGTCGGGTAAAACAGAAGACGCTGGTCCTGTGGTGGTCCGTTATACATATATATAATGTTAGCTTACTTAAATCATGTAATATTATCTTAGCTGTGTTAAATCTAACTTTGCAGCCCATCAGTAGAATCCGATTGGCATGAGATATATAAAAAATACTATATACATAATTAATATTATATATTCAACGAATGTCTATATATTATTAAGTACGTATATAAATATAATAAGTATATTCGCCACTGTATATTGTATCCCATTCGAGACACAGCTTTGGATCCACTTTCTCGGGCACTTAGAAGTACATATTCGATAAAAAAAATACAAATATGCATGGTATTTATACTAAAATTATTTTAATCTTGTTCTACAATTAGAATTAAAAAATATATAAACATATTTTTGTACTGCGAACTAGTATATAACACAAATATGAGGTAGTGTATGAGATTATTAGTAAGTAATATGAACAATAAACATATGCACAAAAAGAAATTTGAACAAGATCAAAATAATTATTATGATGGTGACTACCTGACCGATGGTCAAATTCTATTGAACACCTTGACTTGAAAAATAATTTTATTTAGAAATAAATAACTAATTTAGTTAAAATAACTTGTCAGATTACTACTTACTATCCTTAAAACATGTTAAGTGGCGATTAAATAATCTAAATCGGCGTTTCTGAGCATGTGGTTTTTACCACAAGTGTAGTGGTTGTAAATTTATTCTATCTCAATCCGGTCTGTATATGGGGAAGGGATTATTAATAATGGGGAATAACGGTTTCCTTCCTAGAAATGTACTAGTGTCAAGTCTGCAGCGGTCGTGGTGGACGTGGTCCACTCTAGTAACCATCGTGGTAAAGCCCTGTGAATTCACCACGAGGGGTTAAATGACTTGATTTCATGCCGTGCTCAGTCTATCATCTATATTGGTGTCTCGCCAGCGTTTACATACCGTTAGCGCAGATGGGAGCACCTTATCATAAAAAAAAAACTGGTCTGTATAAGGTCCGTAACCATTTCAACTTACGCAGCAAAATCTTACTGTCTCAATTTTGCATGAATCATAACGATTCGTACATTCTCATGTGGGCATTACACATACAACTATTTGTGGAAATTCTGACGAGGTAAACTTGTATACGTATGACGTCAATCCATAATAATTTATCAATTATTAAATTGATTAATGATTCTATTTTGGTCTTTATAGGGCGTGAATGAAATCCCATTTTGATGCGAAGTCTAAATTGGGAATTAAGTTCTATGATTTGGATTCCAGACAGTGTTTGCAGTCTATTTCGTCTCGTGGATTTCTTTTAGATTAATTAATATTACTATGTGACACTTACTTAATAATAAAAAAATAGTATAATGGTAATACCGTATTAAGATAAATGTTTCTCTGGCACTGAATTACGAAGAACCTAATAAAAAAAGTGATCTCATGATTGGACCGCGGCCTTCAATCTCCGCATGATGCTATAGTTGTATGATTTTCATTGTGTGTAACCTTAACCTTAGTAGCTTTTTTTGATATGGTGTAATATTTTCGTCGGATATTTTTAAATTGTTGTCTATTAAGATCGTAATATATATAGATATAAGCTGTTAACCTTGAAATAGTATATTGCTAGAGGGGCGTATACATTGATAAGTTTATATCAGTCCCTTGCTCCATGGTTGTGATATCTGTTATCCATAGTTTTTTTTAATAAGATGATAATGGTACATCCGCCTGCAGTAACGGTTTCTACTGTTGTGGCACTAATGGAGGATAAGATGAACCGAATCCAGGCCAGCCCATTGTGGCAAATTGATCAGGAATTTTCCAGAGCGAATTCCGTTGAGGTCAACCTACCATGGTTTGTTGCTAGCATGAAAATCCCTTCCCCCCGTATGTATAGTTAGGAATAATTAGGCTAAACATAAAGTTAGATTTTTTTTTTCAGGCCGAGAGAACTGGTGGCCCAATACTATACCATCTATGATATGTGTAGTTGTCTCGTGAAATAACAGCCTGCTGCAACTAACCACACCAACTAACGTTCAGACCGTGAGATCAAATTAATATTATCTTTCCATAATCCATTTTCATTCTATAAATGCGAAAGTGTGCCTATTTGTTTGCTACCTGCCGTTTATGTCAGATGGAATCTATGAAATTTTACGATATCATGATAACTAACAAAAATAATCTTTTGTCTAAAAAAAGCTGCCGAATATACGGGATACATCTTCTGTAATTTTTAACTTACAAAAATATCAAACTCCCTAAATTACAATTTAAGAAAATAAAATTCATATATAAATTTATTCATTTGTTCGTTCTTATATACCTAAATAAATCAGTAAGTAGTATTGGCGACTCTTTCACTATTTTATACTTATACTGATATATAGTTATTATAACAATATTAATTGTGTTATCATAAGTATTAATACTTATGATACTACAATTACAAGTTTCATTTAAAAAAAATACTGGTCTGTGCCTAGCCTAGAGATTTAAATAAAATAAACAGAATAATGAAAATTAAATTTATTAAATAACCGCATTTAACTTACTGAGATTCCCATACACGGTCGGCCCTATAAAACTATATGTACATCGTGGGCCGCTTAATCTATATATACAGCGCGTGCGGGATAGGCGTTGATCACAGAAAACAAATATACCCTACACCGGTGCGCCGACTTCTTCTTGATATGACCTCGTGAGATGCGCGGCGGCAGCAGTCAGGTGGCGCAGAGACCGCCTGAGACCCCGTAGATGCTTCCGGCATGCAGCTGCCGCGCGCGCTGTTGACTCCCTCTCCTCTTCGCCGTCAATACCCGAGTCTCCAGCTGCACTAGACGCATCACTTTCTGTATCGCTGATATCAGATACCCGTCTGCCTCTTTCTACATGATCTTCAGCATCCCCTGCCCATAATAGTTCAGTCTTCAAGTCATTCAGCATGGCAAACATGTTGAATGGGTCATCGTCTCCCTCCTGCGGCAGGTTCATCAGGCGGCTGGGTACTAGCACGGTCTCGTCCATGGTATTGACCATTTTGACGAACTTCTCCATGTCGTTGAGGATGCTCTGTTTTGAGAACTCCGTGTCATCGTGCCGGGCAATTTTTCGCAGAGTGTTTCTGTAACAATTAAATAGATTATGGTTAGTTCCTTTGTCACAATTGCCTGTTTATTATAGAATTCATTAGAATTCTGCATGTAGCATTAATTAGAGACATATTTTAAAACCTCTTTTAAACAAGGATAACGGGTACCTGACGGGGAGAATAGGTTAATAAGAATAAGATGTAATTTCATCTGATGTGGACCAGATTAGCCCTGACTAGACTATAGTCTTGTTGACTATGGTAATAAGAACTTTATAATTAGTAGCTTATAATTGAGAACAGAAATACTGAGATAGATGTTAATGCACAGACAGAGCAGGAAAATTACAAATATTATATAAATAATATGAGTATGTAAATTGAAAAACCTCAGGATAATGGCAATAAGGGAATTTTTCAAATATTGTATTAAGGAAATGACTACCAATGACTCATTTAACTATATGAGGACTGTAACTATTACATATATTTATGTAGTGGTCACTAAAATCTCCCAAACAAAAACTAAAATGTATTATTTTGTATATATTAATCTGTTTGGCTATAAATGTAAAAGATTAATGACAATTAATATGTATATAGGAAAAATAATAATTCTAAGAAAAATAAATACATAATAACATTATTGCAATGATGATTCTTTTAAAAATGTTTCATTGCATTCTATGCATGATTAATGTAAATTCCTAGAACAAAACGCAAAACTTTGACCAATTGCACACTTGTCAAGTGTTCCTATGATTGCATTGGTAATGTAGGATCAATGTACAATTTGTGTTATTCATTTTAATTAAATAAAACATACACAACAATAACAATTCCACTAGATTAAATGTAATATTTATATTTTTAATTTAATATAATAATTATTAAATATTACATTTAATCTAGTGGAATTGTTACTGTTGCATATGTTTCATTAATTAAAATCGATGTAAAAAAATAGAAATTTTAATTATATTCTGATCTAAATAACTATTGATCAAAATTCTATTTTAGTAGTCAAAGAATAACTTCATTTCATTGACATTATACTTATCATATTCACTTGTAATATATATAATAATGCTGTTGCTGCATAGAAGGTTATATGAATAAAATTACTGTACAAGCTGTACATAGGTTATATTATAAGACATATAACAGCTCGCTAGCAATGGAAGCATGTCAGTACTTTTACTTAATGCTCACAAACAAGAGCAACCTATGTTTGGGAGAGAATGGGAAATAGACTTCCTATATCTATTAATGCACATACATCTTCATTATTAGTTGAAACATTATAATAATGATAGTTAAGTTCCATAATAATTGTGAAAGTGTGTCCATTCATACATTCACACAATAAATGAAATACAATTTTAAATGCGAATTCAGAATAACAAATACATTTCCGATTAGCCAGTACAGTCTGCAACAGTTATAGAGGGCTAGCTAACAGCAGCTAGTTCATACATTTATTTGTTATTACAAAAGTAAGAAAGTGATTTCATTAATTTGTATACTTCATTCAATGCTATTTGAGGGGGTGTGTCTGTTCACGAGTTTGACATAATACATGACTAAATAACTTGTGTTGCATGCATAACCAGGTTACAAGTAACAATATTGCCAGAAGCATCTCATTTGTGAAAGTAAACGTCATCAAGGTGAGCAAGTGACAGTTAGACAGCACTGTAGATCTTATTAGCTGTATCTATAGAGAAAATCAAAATTAACTTTAATAGTAATATCAATTAGACTTATTTTTATTTAAATCTGTGTTTGGATTACAACTTATTGTTTAGATAATACATGCAATGAAGTTTTGATGAATGTAATGTCATAAATGTAAATTATGTTCACAAATTAATTTTTAAACTCATTATGTGTATAGATATCATTAGTAGGAAAGTATTTATACTTGTTTGTATGTGTACCTACTGATTAAAGTATTACTTGTAGAAAACTGGTTAAGCATATTACCAATGCATATTAATGATTGATTAATGTCACCTGTAGTAATACAACTACCTACTACCTACCTGATATCAAGTGGAGACAGGTAACTACTTATTTAACTTTGAATGAACAACGGATAAGGTCATAGATTTGAGTTAATGAATTTGATATATGAAAAGAGGAATGTAATGGGTAAGTGTTACGAAATGAAGGCAACCCAGTCTATCTGAGTCATGATGTCCGCGCATGTCCAATGGTTCTTCGGATAAAATTCATCAATGAATAGGATAATGACTATCATATGATATCGTCATGTGACACGATTCCAGGAAATAAAACGAAAGCATAGTTTACTTAGAATGATGTAAGTGACAGTGAGACCGTCATGGCTGATTAAATGTTTTTTTTGCATTTTTGAGAATGGTGTCATCACGTGTATCTCATTGCACGATGCGTTGCAAATGCAACACGGCGCTCAAGAATGCATAGTGCACGCGTAACCATCACCTCATAGAGCCAAAAGCCCGCAAGGAACAGGGCTGTGGCCGCACATTCCATTCAAAAATTAAACACTCCTTACCTGCTATTTTCTAATTTGGTCGAAATATCGGTGTTGAACGACATCTTCTTGTGTTATTTAAAATAATAAATATCACTGAACACTAAAACGAGCTAAATTTTACTGATGTCACTGTAAAATTGACGCTTGTAACCACGGCTTACGAAATAACGCGAACTGGCGGCGCGAACAATAAACGACCGTACGCGACAGAATTGCTTGACGTCTGATTAGAGGTGGGGAGAATCTCGCATTTATATGATGTGATCATACGATGCGGGGGAAGCGAACTTTGTTTTATCAGTATGTTGTGGATATATAATTAATACTAAGTGTCTATGTATTGTTGTGTGTATAATAATAAAAGTATTTAATGTTGAATTATTAAGTACAAAATAGTTACGGGTTTGTAGTATAAACAATGTTAAACTCAAAAGTGGCTGACTGCTTGGCAGTGCTAGGTGCGTCCTAACAATGTCACACCACATGCGAGCTTTGCCATTGGTCATTTCAAATTGTCCAGTTTTTTCATTGGATACTCAATTTGGGATTTCGCGGGTTGCATTTAAACATTTGAAAGTTAGCGATTGTGCTTGGAATGTACCAGCAAATTGATTAAATATATGTAGGTACTTATATAGACATTATAAATTTATTTACAAATTACCAAAAATTAACCCTAAATAGTTTAATCATATTCTTATTTTGTTTCGTTATACATATAAGTAGCACAATACTTAATTATAATGAATTATTATGTATTTAGGTATATGTTACTTATGTGAGCAGTGTATTCACATAGCAACAGCAGCATATTTTTTTAAAATATGTAATATGGTAAATTATAATGATTTAAATAATAAAATTTGAAATTGCGATGTCAAATAACTATAAACAAATATAATACCTACAACTGAATTAAAACATTTACTTAAATTCTTAGTGGTTCTATTATTAGATTTTGGAAATAAGAAAAATGGCAAGTGTAATTTTTTAAAAAATACCAGTTCCCGGTGTTATTTATTAAGTAACAGTATTTTAAATACTAATAAATATCGTTACTGAATAAATAATCACATAGAATTCTCTTTGTAACAAATATGCACTGGGAAATGTGGGCAATTCGATTCAATTGGATATTAACATTCCAAATATGGACCAGAGATGTAAAAAAAGTTAACAATATCTTTGTAAAAAGTTATTGCTCATAATATGAGCAATAACTTTTTACAAAGATATTTTTAATTTTGAACAGCCTGAAGTTTATAATAACAGCATTTTTAATACCATGGATTTTTATTTATGTTAAAGAAACATATATTAGTGACAATTTTGTAGAGACATATTCACGATAATTTTCAAAATTAGTGCTTTAAGATGTGTTGTCTCGCTTTGCCATCCACCGAGACATTTCTGCTTCAGGCTGTTCAAAATTAAAAATATCTTTGTTCATGTAGGTCTATTACAGACTCTTATGTCAAAACTATCATCAGTTCGGAGTACAGAAAATAAAGTGGTACCAACACAAAAACAACACCAGCAGAATAAAAAAAAATACTAACAGTGTCAGGTTGATCTACCGATCTATACATAATTAAATTATTAAATTATCATTCATTAAAAAAAATACAATTTTATCATTTCCGTTTAACTGTTTAGTAGTGAAATGCCACAAAAAGACGGGCACATTTTTAAATTTCTAATATTATTCGTTGGATACCTATGTTTGTCCAAAATATTATGATTGTATAGGTACTATGCATTGAGTAATAATAATACTAATATTATTATTCTGCTCTATTATAATAGTGTAAGTACTAATGAAGTGGAATATTCAACCGCGTCTTCAGTTCTTTGACCATTCATCAACCTTTCACCATATCTTTAATGGATTCCTTTACAGTAAGGCAACCATTAAACACAGGTGAAAGGTTTCTGGAATGTATTTTATATTTGTATTGTATGTAAAGTATACCAATTGCCCCCATTTGTGTAGGTACTTGTGTATTAATTAATATCAAATAAGTAGTTACCTAACTGTTCGATGTGGTGATACAAAACAAAAACAACACTCTATTATTATTATTTTGGTTTGTATATACATTTTTTTTATACTGTGCCTCCATGGGAGTTTCGTTATTTTGCCAATGTCAAGGATGGAACAGGCACTTTTATTATAATCTGTGGGTGGTTTTATTATACCGAATTTGTTGACAATCTAAAGATAATCTAAAATAAAGGAATATTGAAGACATCACAAATAAATATATAATAACGTGTTAGTTGATATGCGGAGTAGGAATAAAATAAATATTAAAACTACCCAGAACAATACCATATTACCATTACTTTGGAATGATAAATATGTCAGTAAGAAATACATCTTATAATACAAGCTGCTTGGCGTCAGAAAAAGCTTAGATTGCACAGATGTATCCATCTTTTTAACCAATAATAATATGATCCTTAGATAATTCACACAACGCCATCTAAGGTAAGCAGAGTTTGTGTTATATGGTACTAGATAACTGATATAAATATATAGATGTTTTTTTTTGTAAATACGTACATAATATAAGGAAACACCCACACTGATACAAATGTTTGTACAGTGCGAGTAATCGAACTCTCGACTATTTTGACTAAAGCGGTGTGCTAAACCGTTAGACCACCGAGGCCGTTAGTCATAATAATCTGACTAATATTACTTATTAGTGCAGATGGATGGATGGATGGATATTTGTCACTCTTTTTCGCAAAAACTGACTGAATGGATTTTAATATAGAACTTAGCTTTATGAGTCCCCTAATCTGAACATTGGCAGGGATGACGAAAGTTATCATTCCACTTTGCACGCTATTATCATCAACATGTTATTCGTTGGGGGTCAAGTTATCTCGTTGATATTGCGTTATCACATCACGCTGTATTCGCATGAAAGGACTCTAACACACCCACTTCACGTCATATCACCATATGCTTCTAAGTGACGAATTATTGGCGAGGTATTAGATATTTAGTACGATAATAACATTTAACAATTTATATTAATCTCTTATATTGTCAATAAACTTGTTATTATCTCATTATTTTACAGATACAGTAAGACACGGCCACGCGTTGCTGTGACTACGGTTTTTGAATAAAATAATGTAACTACAAATTGAGATGTATCTTTCAAGTTGGATCAAATGGTATACAATGTGTAAATCAAATTTGCAATCGGTTCAGTAGTTTAGGAGTCCATCGCGGAATAACAACGTGACACGTAATTTTTATATATAAAGATTAGTGTTCCAGCAGATCCTTCTTGTGTGCTTACTCAATTTAATCGTATTTTCAAACAATTCAGAAATCCATTGATTAGGACCAGGGATGTCTTGGATGTGAAATTTCGGATATGGATAAGTTTCGGATATAGGAACGATTATTATACCGGATACGGATGTTAAATTATTTCGGATTATCCGTTAGTTTCGGATAATTTCGGTTACGGATATTAATTTTTAAGTAATTTCTAAAGTAAAGTACAAATAGCCAATAAAATGGTTAAATAACGTGTCTAAATTGGGCTCCTCGCCTATCGGATATTATCCGAAATTCGGATACGGTTACGGTTACGAATAATTTTTTATATCGGATATCCGATAGTTTCGGTTACGGTTACGGTGCTCCCTAACATCCCTGATTAGGACCAGTTAAGTAATAAAGACACGTCTAGAATTTTTCATGGCAGATATTGCTATGGTGCACCCGTCTGTTATAAAGGTAACGCTGTCGGTGCACCAGTGGAGCATGACATGATGAAGAAGTCTGGTCAGCACATGATGGTGAATTCACTTGAAATGAACCGCAATGGCTTCCAGAAGAATCCGCCTAGAAGTCAACCTGACCAGGTACATTCCTAGCAATGGGACGAAAGTCTGCGATACCACAGACAACATATGATATTACATACCATTATTAATAATCCCAACCTATCCTCCACTGGTGCCCTGCCAGCGTAAACCGTTAGCGCAGGCGGGTGCATCATTCCATTATCATCCATAAAAAAAAAAACCTATAGCTATATTAAGTTAAGTAATTATTCAGCCTATTTAAAAAATCATTATTAATCACTATTTAAATATCATTATTTGTAAAAATAGTTAGGTCTAGTATCTAGATGACTCAGATTATGTAAAATTGTCAACAGTTTTGTAAATAATATTCGTTAAATCAAATTTAAACAATCAGTATTATCAACTATGCTAATTACTCAGAATTGACAATTGATCAGAATTAATGAATATATCGTATACCATACCTATAGGTATTCAAAATAGTCTTGCTCTAAGTGTTGTTTTTTTATGTAATTGAACTGTAAACAAGTTAACGGCCCGACTACATAATAGAAATTGTTCCTCGTATTTGTATACTCATATTAACAATGTAATAGTTAGTGTATTTTAACGTAACTAACTGGCTAACGGAATACACTGGTTGGACATCATTGGAGGAATATTAAGAATTACTCACTCTAGTCTAGGTCTCTGGGAGGAAATTGGGCCATTTCTTACTATAAATAATAATGTTACCCCCAAATAAACTGTACTGCCACCGTACTTTGTAATTTGCACCCGGTTAGAGATAACGAAGACTAAATAATGTTTTAGATAATTTGTGAAAGGCGAGGAATAAAAGGTCAACATTGTTTGTTTACAAGATTAGCAAATTTTGTATATGTGTGTGTATAACAAATGCGAACTATGGACTTTGCACCTATGCATTATTTTCATTAGTTTATCTTCCTTTTTTTATTATCAGTCCACGTGGTCAAGGCACGTGAACTGATAATAATAATAAAACAATGGATAATAAAAATGGTAACGTTCCCTGACTTGCCACGCCCTTGTTATGATTCCGTAGAAATAATAAAATAAAAATTACTAATATTCAAATTTTTGCGATCATTGCATTGTGCACTCGTCTGTTCTAAGGGTTTACGCTGACGGTGAGTGGTTGATAAAATGATCATGAAATTAGGTCATTATCACCATCTCGACAAGTGGGGGAAACAACCAACCTGACGAGACTAACAATCGCCTTTCTCCCGTATATTTAATGTGTATATCAGTTTAGTAAGTCAAACATTTTGAAAATTATTTAATCTCTAGAAGTTCTCCAATAATCAGCTAGTAACAAGGACTGTATTTTAAAAAGTAATTTATATCCTCACATACTCCCTTAATAATTGAATC